CCCAGAAGACAAATAATTTCAATTTCGAAATTGTTTGAAATTTATATGAATCAGAATTTCTGTCCAGTGTTTAAAGAAATAAAGAGGGACAATTCTTTGATTCCTGTTTGGTATTTGCATGCGTGTGATGGGGGTGAGGGTGGGGGGCTCCACGATCTTGGAAATAAAAAAGAAAGTTTTTTTTAGTTTGAACAACCCCTTTTTTAAAATTGTCAAACATTTTTTCAGTGAAGACAAAACTAAAGAAAATAGGTCTGGTCATCCTAGAAATAAATATATTTTGTCATGTGAAGACATGATCTGACTTGACAGTTTTTGCCCCCCCCCCCCTTCTAGAATCAAATGGTCGTCCCCTGAAAAAAAATCTCTGTCTTCTTTGACGTTTACGTGTCCTTAAAATTACAATGTATAGGCTAAAAAAATCATATAAATTTGAATTTCAAACATTTATTTGCGAATTGAAATTATTTGTCTTTTGGATCATACATTCACACTTCGCGTTTGAAAACAGCTAAGGTGGATTGAAAATGGATTTCAAACTAGAATTTCAATCCAATGTTTTCTCGGACGTCCGTGTCAAATTGTACCCGCCCATTTCATTGTCTATAATTAAATGTTTTGACTGTGACAGATGAAAATGACGTAAGCTGCATATTTCCAATTTTGCCAGATAATGTTCCGCCGTCTTAACTTAGTTTGCTTCATGCATCTCCATCCTTTTTTTGCTTGGCTATTAACGTTAGATTATGAACTGCGTGGAATGCATTTGTCAAAACTTACAGTAGAAGCGCTGATCCTAAAAATGTTATGCACGATGGATAATTTCGAAACTAAATCTAATGAAATTGATTAAAAGCTGTTTCCCGGAGACAAAAATATGCCCTGTTACATTTTTGCTCATTTTGTTCATTACTGAAATACTTAATGAAAAAGAATGTTGAATGTTGAATCTTCTAAAGTTATTTCATAAACTTTGTGCATGTAATGGGCAGGCATTTAGCATCGATTTTGAAAGTGTGTGTATGTGACGGAAAAAAGAGAATTGTCTAAACTCGAAAATCCCATCTCTAGAGGGGTGTGTGTCAGGTTCCGACTAAAAATTTTCAATATATTTGCGTTTTCAATATATTTGAATTTTATACGTACTGTATTAAACCCGGGAGGGGGGATGGCTTTTTTAACAATTAATTTCATATCAAAATATATGTCAGGCAAAAAAAATTAATCTGATAATAATAAGGTTTGAAAAATAAAGTAAAGAATAATTAAGTAAAATTAATTAAATAAATATACCAGTGTTGATGAAAAAGTTCGCAAACTAATTGAATTACTTCCATAAAAGAAATGAAATTAGGTTTCAGTGTTCATAGCGTAGTCTTCTCCGATTTAAATGCACATCTGCCACCGTTCTGCCCTTGTGCGAATCAAGTCATATTACGGGCGGTTACGTTACATGCTCCTTAGCGTTCTCTTCACAGAAGCTAAAAAAATTTTCCGAATCTTATATTTCTTACGCTGCAAGTTATTTTTTTTATAACAAGAATAGTCCATTTGTCAGAGATGAACAAATCTCGGCAATATGATGGATGGATAAGGATATCTTTTCCCAGAATGAGCATGGTGACCATCGCAACCCGAGTCCTCTGTCTTGGGAGCGTCGTATTTCCAATGTCGATAAAGTACGAGGGGTGATCAAAAAGTTCGCGAACTAATTGAATAACTTCCTTAAAAGACATAAAATGAGGTTTCAGTGTTTATTATTTTTTAAAGTATTCCTCTCCGATTTTAATGCACATCTGCCATTGTTCTGCCCATGCGCAAATCACGTGATCCAGGCAGTCACGTGACATGCTCCGTAGCAGTCTGTTCAAAGAAGCTAAGAGATTTTTCCGAGTCTTATATTTCTTACCATGCAAGTTATTTTTTATAACAAGAACAGTCCATCTGTCAGAAATGGCCAAATCTCGGCAATAGGATGGGTGGATAAGGATATCCCTTCCCACAATTAGCTAGTATGGTGACCCATCACAACCCGAGTTCTCTGTCTCGGGAGCGTCGTTTATCCAATGTGGATAAAGTATGGGCGCATTCTTTTTATCATATCTCATATTTTTAAAGTCTAAAGTAAACGATATTTTAGGGATTTAATGATTATAGTATTGTTAAGATATTCAACCATTTTTCTAATTGTAACTTGACGATGTTTCATAACAAATTGCTTAGCTAAGTACACATATTTTCCCCGGCTTGCTTTCGCTGGGCAACATAACAAACATCATTTTTAACCGTCTCCCTGCCTTCACTAAAACAATCCATCCAATTTATGATTAAACGTCTGGTAAGTCTTTTGTCTTCATAAACCTTGTACAAATTATCATCTTCTACTGCAGAAGAGTTTCCAAGATAAACGTTAAACATTACAGCCGTTCGTTGCTCGAGTACGACTGAGTCAACCATTTTTTGTCACAGGTGACCTACATATTGACGTCATTTTCACATTGTGACGTCACAAACACGGAGCAAAACATTATTTAACATCTGTTATTTATAGAACATGTGTATGACTATATGTGTGCCAAGTTTCATTCTGATCTGAATTGTGGTTTTGTAAATATAGAGATAGTTCGCGAACTTTTTGATCACCCCTCGTATGGGCGCCTTCTTTTTATCATATCTGATATGAATAAAGTCTAAAGTAAGCGGTGTTTTTGGGATTTAATAATTATATTATTGTTAAGATATTCAACTATTTTTCTAACTGTAACTTTGCGATCTTTCATAACATATTGCTCAACTAAGGACACATCTCTTCCCCATCTTACTTTCACTGCGAAACAGAACAAGCATCATTTTTAACCATCTCTCTTCCTTCACTAAAACAATCAATCCAATTAATGATTGAATTTCTGGTAAGTCTTTTGTCTTCATAAACCTTGTACAAATACATGTAATTATATGCTACTGGAAAGGAATTTCGAAGATACACGTTAAACAGCCGTTCGTTTCTCCAGTACGACTGAGTCAATCATTTTTTGTCTTAAGTCACCTATATATTGTCGCAATTTTCACATTGTGACGTCACAGACATAGAGCAAAACATTATATAATATCTGCTATTTATAGAACATGTGTATGACTATATGTGTGCCAAATTTCATTCTGATCTGAATTGTGGTTTTGTAATTATAGAGATAGTTCGCGATTTTTTTCACCCATTGTATAAACAAATAACAGAATAAAAAAAAGACAACAAACGCAAATTCTTACAATGTGTATGTAAGGGAGTGGGGCATACAATGCTTTTCTAAGCAAACAATTATTCAGTATTTAAGACTGTCGGTGTCAATTCTGTGACTGAAATATTAAACAAATCGCAGTGCTCTGCATTTATTATTTTTTTTTTAAATGTCACAGAAGTATGCAGTTTATTCGATAATCGTGCTATTAAGTGCCATTGACGAGATGTACTTGTATTAATTCAAAGAAAAAGGTGATTAATAAGTTCTAATCTTTCAGACGTTCACCTTATTTAAAGTCCGAAGTCTGATGTCCACTAGCTGTCCGCTGTATATTCCGCAAATGTCCATTTTAGCAGTCATTTAATTTTTACTGTTTACAGGCAAAGAGAGTTTTCCGCCCATATTATTGATTTTGATTCTGATTAGCAAATTTATTTTTTGTGTCGTAATGATACCGTCACGGCTTCCAAAATACATAACGTCAGAATAAAAATAAGTAACATAATCATGGCAACTTGTAGATTCGCCAACACAGCAATCAATGCGCAGATAATGCTTTGGGATTTGCTAAAGGACTACTGCACTTAACACCGGGTTTAGGATCTTTTTCGGTTGTTTCTTTTGCTTTAATATCTTCTCCTAATTTCACTTTTTTTTTTTTTATTTATTAAAGAACCCTGTAAATTTGATCTCAAATTTAAATGTTCAAATGATTTTAGACTGTGATATGATAAAAAATTATGATGTTTTCCTCTCCTGTTTGAGCGAACCTCATCACAACAAAACTGACGGAGGGAAAATAAAAAATATTTTGCAGTGCACCATTTGTAGTAACATCTCTGAACTACCTTGATATTACATCATAATCGCATATGACTTCACGGCATTGCAAACTTGATCTAAATGACGGGAAAAGTGTAATAACTTAAACATTTATCTCATATGACATATAAAAATATTTTTACCTTAATATTACAAATTCAGGTGTTTTTATTGTTGTTTGGAGATTCAAGATGCTGTTATGATTATGATAATCTGATTCCTTTCTGTTGTTTGATATGCAGCGTATTAAACAATTACAAAAAAAGTATGATGTGAAATGTTCCCCGTTACATCCGAAGAAAAGATAGAATTTTAAAACCCCTGTATATATCATATAAGCCTAACACAAGTGATTTATAAGATTAAAGTGAAGATATTTGCGTGATTTTATACAAGAAGTATATTCTGTAATTAAATCTTGCTGGGGATCGTATACTATTTATTCTATTTTATATGGATTGCAATATATAGTGGAAAATACCCCTATACCTCAGTAAGTTTTTAACTCCAAATTGAAAATGTAAAATACTAAAAATATAACACGTTAGGATTTAATTATTAAGTTGTACTGCTAGTTATTTTTGTCATTTCGATGACTTTCTAATCTTTTCTCTGTCCGAAGGAAGGCAAAGGGCGTTCTGAAAATTTAACAAGATCTATTGTTTGTATTGCTTTTCATATATAATTGCTTGTTTTATATATATATATATATATATATATATATATATATATATATATATATATATATATATATATATATACATATATATATATATATATATATATATATATATATATATATATATATATATATATATATATATATATTCCGATAATGCTTATCTTAAAATACCTATCCTAAATTTAGTAGTAACAGTAGTATATCTCTGATGATTTACGGTACATGTAGTTTCATTTCATTTTACTCATATTTTACAGCTGCTGTTCATGGAAATGGCGTTTATTTTGCCGTAGATGCTGAATACTCAGCTCGTGAAACATACTCTAAGCCAGATCCAAATGGACACAAAAGAATTTATTTATGCAAAGTCCTTACAGGCGAGTTTACACTTGGTAAAAAGGACATGAGGGTACCGCCACCCAAAGATGTTAATCAACCTCATATCTTATATGATTCTGTGGTGTACCCTCTACAAGATCCTGAAATGTTTATCATCTTTAATGACACCCAGGGATACCCATCTTACCTGATTACTTTTATTAAAACGAAATGACTGAAAACAATCTAAAGAGAAAAAAATAACACAAAATAAGTTTACTTGTAAAAACACTTATGTGGATTCGGTCGTATATTTAGGTAAATTATGATATGATATATTCAAAATCATGGTAATAGCAGGTGCATGGACGGTACATTTAATGGATAAATAAATAGTTTTAACACCACAACGATTTAAATCTGGAGCTTTGAGGTACCAGTACTTTTGTTTTTGATTGAAAAAAAATCTTATTCATGATTGATTTTTTGATGATTGTTATCCAAATCAGAATGTAATTGACGATGTTTCAAAATGATTTTGTTGTTTGCAAAGTGTTTGGCTCTTTGCCAATTCCAATTTAAAAAAGTTTCAATTTTTTAAAATCTTTGTGTTTTCCGCATAAATGTATTGTCTTTTTCATGTCATTCTTTGAAAGGTAATCTTACATGCATAACATAAATGAATTTTTAAAATTTTACAATTGACAAAAGAATAACCTTAAATCACTGTAAAATTAATTACAGTACATGATCCTACGGACGATGCATCGTTTTTTTTTAATAATGATATTTACAATTTAATAATGTTAATTTAATTTAAGAATTAAAAATTGAATGTAATAATATATTTCAGAAGTTCGAAAATTGCGGTAGTAATTTGAACTTTTAAGTACACAGTTACAATCATAAAATCTGTAAGGTTAACTTAAGGAAAAAATATGGCATGAAAGATGCAAGTAAAATTTATGGATACTAAAATGTAGTTGATCCATTTTGATTAACAATTATCATTTTTAATTTTTTTTTTTTTTGAAGAATCACAATGCTACTTTTTCCTTATTTAAGGGCTTTTAGCGGTTGGGAAAAAATGTGGAAGTACAAAACCTTGTTACTCAGGTTTGAGGTATTGAATTTTTTTATTCAATGTTTGTTTATCTAAAGATTTAGTTCGCAAATTAAGAATTAGGTGAATAAAGCTGAGGTGGTATTTTAAAGGTTATATGATAGAAAAAAAGACTACCACAGAATTTTTACAAATAATAATTCTGAATATGGTTAATTCCACGTTGCATTGAAATCAGTTTAAGTAATATCGTTTATTCTAATAAACCAAAAAGAAAGATATATTTTGTCACAATCTCCGTATAAAAAGTGCATGTATTCCTTACATCTTGAATTTTATGAAGAAAAAAAAAGATTGTCGGAACCTACTTATAAAAGTGAGAATCTGTTGTGTATTCGAACCTCTCTGATTTATTTTCAAAGAATGACGTTTGAATATTAAAAATGGGGAACAACTTTAGATATTTTATAAGCCCTTTTTTCTTTAATAGTAAAAAGTACTGATTATCTACTGTGTATTTAATTTTTAATACGAATAATTTCATTCATTATTGATTTTTGTAACCATGCAATTACACTGAATAAATCTTTTAAGCAGTCACTGAATTATAATCTGTTGGTTGAAAGAAATTAAAAAGAAAGCTTTTGTTAAACTAAAAGTTTTGCACTAGTCCTGTAAATGAAGTGGCTAAGTTTAATCTGCAAATTCACATGCCACACTACCATTCATGCTAGCCCCCAATCCCCTTACTCCATAAAAAACTTGCACAATTATGACTTTCTAAGAAGAAAAACATCTTAATGCTATTATTTCATTGCAACCATTTATTATCTACGTTCATTTTTAGTTTTCATTTTTGATAAACTTTCATGTGACTTCTATTCTTTCTAGTGTTGTCTTTAGAAAAGGATTCGTATCTTTTGTGGATATTCTTTTTAACTAAAGTAATTGAGCCTCAGATTTCCTATTGTTATAATTTTTTATCTGTCTTCAGCTGTTTTGTTTTGTCTGTCGTTCGTAAACGTTTCATACTTTTGACTTCTATTGAGTTCTTAGTCAAGTTTCATCACACTTCTGTCAACAAAATAATGAATGAAAATGAGGTAGACTAAAAAAAAGATGTTTACTTTTATTTTCACAGAAACCCACAAATCAGATAAAAATTATTAGGAATCTTTAAAATATAATTTATTTGTGATTTTCACAGATGACGACCACAAAGGGATTACAAAATTTTAATAAATTTGAATCGGATTTTTTTAAAGAAAATTTTCCAAAAACTATTGGGCTACAGATTGTCTTTTTTTTTTTTTTTTTTTTTTTTGGCTATCAGCTTCAACTAGTGTGGTTTTTAATGTGTTTAAATCATGATAAGTGGGACATGAATAGAGCAACAAAGGGTGGTGCAAAATTGAAACTAAATTTAGGTGACTGCTTTATTTTGTTCAGTATGTTTATACTAGAATTAAAATAAATTATATACAAATATCATTCTTTTTTTCTTTTTACACTTTGGTTGTTTCTTTGTTATTTTGTTTTTGAAAATCGCATGTTGAGCAAACTAGGTATAGAATTACTGTTGATGTAATGGCGGTATTCTCACCTCAGGAAAATGCAATTAGAGTGAAAATTAAAAAAAATATTACTTTAAAAAAATTTCTTCGTAAGAAATGATGTCTAAACCGATATCAACACCCATATTTTCCCCTAGAAGGGATAACATGTATGTTATTATATACAATGCGATCAGTCTTTGGTGTCCTAATTTACTGGTAGTGCAATTAACAGGGAGCATAACATTTGCATGTAATATAAAAATTTCTTCAATCTCTGTTGACTAGCTGAATCAGATTCTCAATTTATGCACATATTGTTGACTTGAATTTTACATTATATAATTGCATAAGCATATAGTTTTAATTAAGGTTAGAAGAAGGATTTTAACTGAAAATTAGCATTATGTGATAAACACATTATAGATGCATTTCTCCAACCCGACCAGGGTAGATATGTTTTGTGAACCTATTAACTGGAGCACTTTTATCGTATCTAGGACATTCTTTACTCTAAAGGAAACGGTTTTTTGGACATTGAGAAAATTATAGTGTGTTAAGGTGTAAATATTGATCTTATCTCTTACATTTTCAAGATAGGGTACCTTCAAGCTGGCATTTCCCCCCAAAGAAAAAATGTTAAAAAATAATGAAGTACTGATGAACAGAAATCACTTATGTTTACTCTAGGAGATGATACAAGCAAACCATTATAAAAATAAATAATGAAAAGAACAACTTGAATCCTGTTTATATTAGTAAAATGAACAAGTTTAAAAGCATAGTTTTTGATTTTTCATTCAAAGTTTCACGATAATGGGTTTGGGAAGGGACAAAAATATGCATAGATTAATAAGGTTGGTTGCAGAAAGGTAGAATTTTGAACATCATAGAAGGTTTACACTTTTTGAATATTTTAGAAATTTATTTTTTGCATCATTTACCAAAAAAAGGCCCAAAGTATATACCAATCCAGGCATCCATTTTTTGCTTGTATCTGTCCTTAAGTGGGCAAAATTCCTGCAAATAAAGTGTTCGATCTATTTATCTTATTCGATTAAAATGTTATATATGCTTGATTTAATCACAAATGAAATGATAAACTATACATTTCTATTTTCTTTATTCTAGATTAAAGGGCAGATTACTCTATTTGCATAAAAATACCACAAAATCAGAGCTTTTTAGTGTGAAGTGTATAGAGGAATCTAAAATGATTTATAATAATACTTATTTAGATATTTTTTCCCTTACATTTAAATATCCAGGACAATAAAGAATACATGTAAAATGAAATTCATCTTCAATTTGACGAGTATCACAAAATCGTCTAATATATCCCGTCTTGATATAAGAGATTCACTACATCTATCTCTTGATGTCATTTAAATTCCTAGATGCCATTTTTCAACTGCCATTTTGCATATTTGTAAGTGCCGTTTTGCATATTCATAAGTGCAATTTTGCATATTTTTGAAGTGTCGTTTTCACCAGGTGCTGTTTTCACTTGCACCCTAAACAACAATAATACAAGAAAAAGAGAGATAAACACAGCATTCAAAAGGATAGCAGGATATGAAAAAAAATACGGAAGACCTTTAAAAATAAATAAATTTTGTGGGTACTTTGAAAAAATGCATGCAAGTGTTAAACTTATTCTATTTCTCATAAAATATATGTCATAAAGGGCTGTTGGACTCTGTTTATAAAGCCACGCTTATTAGATACGCAATATATTACAGTTCATTTACTTTCGGGGCAGACACAAACTCGGTTACTCTGTAATATATGGTGACAATGTGTCTTAGTTTTAAAGTTCCTGACATGCACAAAAAGCGTATCACAAAAATCCCGGTTTGATGCAATTATGTAAAATCAAGTTACAAGCTCTTCAGTTTAAAGTGTCACAAAAAGTACACAAAAATATATTCAGAATGTATGTTCAAATATAAAAGATGTACATAATTGCAAATTAAATCGCTTTATTTCATCCACCAAAAATGTAAAATAAAATTTCACTACTTAATCACAGTTTATTACGTTATTTTTAAAATTGTATGAAATGTTTATATTCAAAATTTTGAACACAATAAAAATTGAATAATATTTCTACAACTGTTGGACCTAAGAATTTGGTTTTTATCTCCTTCAACTAGCTTTCTCATTTTTGTGTGAATACCATTTCAAGAGAGCTACCTACTTATATATGGAAATCATGAGCGGAACATATATATTTCTAAATTTTAATCGACCCCTTTGGTTTGCAACGATATTTTTTTAAATTCAAAACAAGTCAAAGATATAAAATAATTAGATAAGACAAAAGCAGGCTTTGGTCTTGTAAAACACTTTTTCATAAAACAATCTTTGCAGTCACAAGAATTTAGTTTTAGATGCCAGAATAAAAAAATAAAATGAAAAGAAACATTTACGGTACGAAGTGAGTAGATGAAAAGAATTGTCCAATAAATTACTTTTAGGTATCTTATAAGATCCATCCTATTGGACAGCTACAGGTAACAATGATATGAAAACAAATGGTGATGACGATAACAAACAGCACTGAAAACGCTTCAATAAATTAAATAATATAATTTGAGCAGTATAGGAAATAAGCAGCCTTAATTGATATAATCTATATAATTTA